CCACCAAACGCCTACCATGATGTTTCGCCTACCAACTCACCTTGGACAGGTCTTGCCACCTGCGCATATCATGGGTCGACCAAGCTTCCAGCTTACGGAACCACTTGGCTAAATTAGGGACCTCGGTCGGTAACCAAGGAGTCACTACAAAAAATGAAATAGAGAAATGTCATTGTGGAGCCCGCCTCCAGACAATGTGATAAAAATACAGGTATGACACTTATGTGTGATATTCCATTTCTCAGGAAAGGGCAGAAACTCTTTAGGAATGATTCAATCGTCTGCGCTCGAACAAATCGGCTCATCCATCCTTGGTCCTCGTCCTTTTCGCCATCAACGGCAGGAGACCGGGTGGATCAATTTCGCAGAGTAATCAAACCCTAATAACGTAGTAGTCGATATAACCTCACGAGATGACTGAGGGTAAATTCGAGCCTGACCTTATCTACAAAGTATCTTATCATCTTCACTATCTTCCAAAGGGATGGGTGAGCCTACGCCAAGGTAACCTGATATCTTCGACAGAACTCAAGCACGACTCGATGTAAATGTGTGTACACGCTCAAAAACATCTCGACGTAGGTCATGATGCTCTCCTAGGATGAAGGTACTTGTACCATTACTCCTTCTCCCCATCCACAGTCTTTTCTAATCATTTCGAGGTGTTCCTCCCCTACTGATGAGATGAACCTCGACGCATGCTCCCGATGTCCTTGAACATTGGGAGGTCTCTCCAATGTAAAGTCCCTCCTCGAGACAAAGCACCTCGAGGCCCGTTCACCGGGCAACATCGATGTACCACTGACCAGACGCGGAATAGAGGCAAAACTCCCCTCTCTTTGATGGGCGGATGTCGACGTAGCAGTCATGGCTACGATAAAATAAGAGGAGGGGGATATAGATTTGGGCAAAGATTTTGAGTTGAAACGACGGGAGAACTAGCACAAAGCGCCATGTTCTATGAACGAAATAGTTACTAAGAGTAGCAAAATCTCCACTAAAGAAGCAAGTGAGTGAATATATATGGGCAAAGCAGCGGTTGCTCGCCTACCCAGAAGGCCAATTAATTCTAACCATGGTAACGTCACTTTTTTCTTGGTAAATGTACTGGCGGGACCACCGGGGATCACTTTTTCCTTTATCAGATCGCATGAATGCCGCTACCCCAAGAAAGTCAAGAGGTATCAAGACCTTGGGGGCTTCTTGCTATCACAAGCATCGGCCCCAAATAAGCTATCAACCTAATTTCTATGTAGGTCACGATTACTCCAAAAATGGGCTCCAAAGAGTTAATATTAATGTTTGAAGAATAACTCAACAAGAGCAACGAGATATAAAAAACTTGGGGCAGAAAAACCCTTTTGAATTGCCAAAAATATATTTACAAGGACGTCTTTACAAGACTCATTCCCCCGAGAGTACAAGCACTGAAAGAAAAAGAAGAAAAAAAGGAGCAAAGGCGACATAAGGCCTACTCTTCATTGCCATTATCCTCCCAACCATCTCCAAGATCCTTATCTAGAGCAATCAAGAGCGTCGACTTTCTCTCCAACTCTCGGGCCTCCTCAATTTTGGCTGAAAGAACAACGCCTCTGGTTCCGACCCCCTCCAAGGATTCCCTCCTGGCCTTCGCTCTAGCATGCTCGATAGCCTGGGCCTATTTTAGCTCCACCCTTATCAATATCTTACAGGCTATTTGATTCGATGTGGCTGTGTCCTGCAGATAAGTAGCAACTTTTCCTTCGATCTCGGACTTGGCCGTAGTTAGCGCGACAACATCCTTTTGAGAATTTTGGAGAAGATCATGGGTCGACGCCAACTCCGAGGTTGCCACCCTGTTTTGTTCCCTCAGCTCGATGATCTCCGCATTCTTTTGCCCGATTAGTAAATCCCTTTGCCCGATCTGCAAGGGAAAGGTAAGACAGTTTGTATTAGATCATGGGAACGAAGGGTAGACTCATGCATAACAGAATACCTGCTCAGCAAGAGCAGCCTTTTCTCGGAAAGCTCCCTCCAAAGCAGCCCGGAGCTCACCTGACTCTTTCTCCTTTCGGGTAGAGTAAGCCTCCGACTCTCGCATTCCCAAGGTCAACCTCTCAAGCTCCTCCTCACGATATGAAAACTCCTCATTAAGCCTAGAGAGGTCATGATCATACATTTCCTTACACTACAACAAAACAAAAGAGTTAGAAAAACGAAGAAAATGCTCGAGACTAAGGGAAATATACATAAAACACCTCCACCTGCTACATGAACCTATCTGCCGCCTTGACAGAGCGGGGAGTGTCAATATCAACATTCTCACTAACATCGTTAAGAATGTTTCCAAGCGCATCTCTCCCTTTAAGAGGACCCCTGGCTTTGGCGGTATTCGCATCCTAAGCATCCCGTAGCTCCCCTGATAAGAACTGAGGGCCCAAACTGAAACCATTTATGTCATTGATGTCTCCGATGGCCAACTCCTTCCCCTGAAAAGCTCTAAGTCTCGACCCTTTAGGATCAGCGACAACGGTCCCCCCAGCGAAAACTGCACCAAATCCGGCCATGGGATCTGGGACCACATAGACACCCTCCTCGAGGGTCTTCGATTCATGGGACCGACCTGAGTCGGCCATTCCCGATTCAACAGCCTACGATCTAGGCACCTGCGAGGCTCCCACACGCAACCTCATCCTCCATGCCAACCGGCACTCTCCCTCATTAATATCATAATCATCATCCTCATCCTCAGCACTGGGGCTAGCTCCGGAAGTTGAAGCCGAAGTCCTAGTGACGGCTCGAGACTCGCATAACTTAGGTTTCTTTGCCACGGGAGAATTGGCAGCCACCTTACCTTTCCTTTTCTTGCCCTTGGCGGGATCTGAAGTCTCCATCTCGCCACCAGGGGGCGACCTCATCTGCATATTCTCACCAAGGCCTGCATGAGCGCAGTGACCGTAACTTATCAACACAAAGGTTACGGGGAAAAAAAATAAATCTAAGGCATAGGTGGAAGGGAAGCTTTACCATGATTCTTGACCACCCACTGCTTCTTTTCCAGGTCTATCCAAGACCGAACAAGATATGGGAACGCAGTGTCCAACTGCTCGATCCATCCCGGCAAATCCGAGACCGCTTCGGGATACCAAGCGGTAGCTACAAAAACTAAAAAGAGGTCATTTCTCCTGAATAAAGGAAAGAAAATCACAAAACATGTCAAAGGAAAAAATGCTTACGCCGTGTGTTCCACTTCTCCGAGCGTCACTTGATATTTGTCACAAAAATCGAGGATAACCAGGTCTATCTCTGGAGGAGGGGATTTAGAGGGATCGACAGGACCCAAATTGAACAGGTAAGTATATACATGAAGGAGGTCAGCCTTGTGATATGTTATATTCTCATTAGGGCTGGGAATCTCCACCTCCGCTGCCTCCCTCCATCGGGAGTCTTTCTTCACCGTCCCTACGTTGGTCATGACACTAATGTATCGGGACACATGTCCATATCGGCTCGGTGTGGATGAAGTTTTATCGATGGTAAAGTCCTTCGATATATCAAGCTCGGTGGGAGTACATTGTCCCAAGGTGGGTATCACTTTGGGTTTCCTTTTAGATGTTCGAGAGGAAGAGGCAGCCTCGACTTTCCGCGGAACCATCCTGGAGGTTCTAGCCATGATGATTGTGAAATTTCTCTAAAAAAGTAAGAAGAAAGGATGCAAGTAGGGATGGGTTTGGTTTTGCAAATCGGAAGTAGTTGGAAGAGTAAGAATTATCCAACAATTGGTGCATTTATAGGAGCCATATGGGACGTAGAAGGGACGAACGAGTAGCAATTCATGGGCTTCTCGATAGTCGCATTTGACAGCAACCCTTGCATGGTTTTTTGGGCATGGCATTTAATGCTCTGATAGGCTTACGTCACAACAATGATGCCCTGGGAATAAAATCTCATAATTGTTTCCTATCGCTTTGTTCTAGGAAATGCGGGGACTATCTGTATACAACAAAAATGGAGGGTCTAATTTCTCGCTATTAAGGCACTTTGAAAAATCACCTCAATGGCTCGAGGCCACGGCCGAGTATCCCCCCTCGAGGGTCGTCGAAACCCGGCCATGGGGCAGTGATGATTATGGCAATAGTAAAAATGGGAAGTTCCCAAGGTACACGGCAAGGACTGACAGAGCCTAGTAAGCTTCTAAACCCGAACCAAGGTGTCATCTAGCCGTCCCATCTCCGCTTATTTGTCATTAATGTATTTTGTACTATGTTGGGATTCCCCTCCTATATAAAGGGGGTTCTTGTCATTTTGCAGAGGGTTGTTGCTTCAGCTGCTCTACACGAAATATACAAGAACATTCTCTTTGCTCTCTTACATATTCTCTTGATATTATTGCTCCCATTTATTGTCTTCATTATTGTTTTCATTATTGTTCTTCATTTATTGCTTATCATTGGCTATAACGAGCTTTTATTAATTTTACTCCAACTGTTAATCATACTTCGATTGCTAGCTCGAGGCCCCCAAATTGTCAAGCTCGAGGCCACGATTGCTATCCTATCGGTTTGATATCACCCTATCCTTAACTATTATTTTGTTTCTAAGTCTCACATAAATAGCATCAACTGCTTAACTACAAGCATAAAAATAGATCACGTATTTTTAGAGTCCCATAATTAAATTTAATTGTTATTATCATTTTTACGGTAAATACCAACTTAAGCGTACATATAAATACATGGTTTCGAGCAAGAAACTATATGCTATGCCATAAATGTATTATTAAACTAAAAGAAATTATAATATCTTATACCATCAAGTTGGGGAGCAAACAAAGCTCTTTGTTGCAATGATGTAAAGAAGGGCAGCAAAATTGACTTTTAAGGATACGTATTGATTAAAGTCAAATAGAACAAACTTTCACTGATTAATAGCCAAACCAAATAGGATACAGGAAAAAAATCTATGAGAAATCATTAAATATTAAGAAATAATATCAAATTGAAAGAAATCGACAGATTTACCTCAAATAGGATTGTAGGATTCTTTTTTTGATTTATATGATTGAAGCAATACCTAACATTTGACGAACAAAATCAGAAAAAATACACTTAACAAATAAGCAGATGAACCTTATAAGAACAAAACCTCTAATTGAGTTGGGCATGCTATCACTGCAAGCTTTATCTTTCGTATGAAACTATGAACTTGATAGAAATATATTTCTTCACCTAAAACTAAACACTAGCAGGAATGCAATATCTAAAGGCTAATTATATCTCTAACAATGGAAGAAAAATAAATATTTAAATGTACCGATAAAAAAATATAATCCCTAACTTAGACCTTCATATGTATAAAATCCATAGACAACATTCCATAAGCACTAGTAAGACGCAAAGTCCAACATATATGAGTTGTCAGATACTTGATACATTTATTATAATTCTTTCTAGTAACTCATGTAAAAGTTTGATCTCTATGATGTTAAAATCTTTTGAAAAATAAAATCAGGTGCAACAATACCTATTAGTGTCATGAAGATTCACAAACAATCCAGTTGATATATTTCTTCAAAGATCTCATAAACTAAAGCAAAATATTTTAGGAGAAAATTAATTTAGGACTAACTAATAAGTGAAATGGACATAGCAATATACCAAAGTCACTAATAGTGACACATAGAGATAACTAAAGAAAGCAATAGAAGCTTTGATACCACATATAGAAAAAAGTGAAGAAAACTAAAACTTACTAGCTGACCCATACTATCATAGTAAGCTTTGAAACATCTTCTTCATCAACAATAGCTGCTAATTCATGTTGCTGCTTAAGAAATCTACCGGATTAATTATTTGGTTGATGTTTGTTTTTAATAGTGCATGAATATTTATCTCCTCCAAATTTTATACAAATGAGAGAAGACAGGCGTAATTCAATCAAAACTCCATGAACTATTTTCTTATACATAACAAAAATGTTATTTATTTAAAAGAAGCAAATAGTAACATCTTATTGTCCAATGCAAACCACATCTTATTTGACATACACCTACAAAAAGTAAGTAACTGCCTATGCTACACAAATACTATAATAAAAGTACACAAGACATATCTCTAAAATATTCTCACACCATCTATAAAATTGATTAACCAAGATGATAAATAAAGTAACATTGTTCAAATAGTAACTAAATATATTAAGTGGTTTCTTTTAAAAGCTAGTACCAGTAAGATATTTGGAATTTACTATTAAAATGTTAAGCACTATGCTCAAAATTTAATACTGTTTAAAAATCTTATTTTTATATTAAGTGGTTTCCAAAATTTTTGTTGGAAATATTCTCACACCATTAAGCTAGTTCAAATAGTAACTAAATATATTAAGTGGTTTCCGAAAATCTTATTTTTATGTTTAGCCATACTTGTGACTAAACAAAAAGATCATGTTGATATGCAATTAGGATTTCCAGTCAATTGCAACTTTATTTGTTTGGACTCAAAGGTGTTCATTGTGAAATATTTTCAAACACCTTCTGAGCACAGAAATTGTAATACTGTTTAAAACATATCTAACACAGATTTCCATTGAAAATTCTGGAAAATTCAATTAAGCATGCAACAAACATTCCAGGCCTAGATAGTGCCAATAATTAAGTAAGAGTGAAAAGTAATCAAGCACACAAACTCACAAATAAAGTATATGGCTTCACTTGGAGTACATCTCGTGAAACCCAAATAAAATGACTTACATGAAAAACCCTAACTCTTTTTTCAAAAACACATTTAGGGTACCAAATTAGGTATTAACAAAATAATTTTATTCATCCATTTACAAATAAAGTTTCAGAGGAAAAAAATTGTTAAAAAAAAATTCGTAGCTTACCCAAGTACATGGAACTTTGTGGTGTCTCACATCAGTTGGTAAGATTATAAAGGAGTAAGATGGTGGCTCTTTGTCGCTACTATTAGAACTGTTTCAATAGGGTGGAATGTCTTATGCAACGGTATTAACCATTGTAGTAGATTGTCTATTGCAACGGTTATGTCACTGTTGCTAAAACATCCGTTCCAATAGGCTTATTTTCTGGTAGTGTATATAGGCATAGAGATGTATTTTCCTCGCGCCATTTGATAATGAAACATATTGTTTGTTGTTGAAAAGTTTTGGGAAAAATCATAGTTTTACCTACTCAAATTTTTGTAGTTTCAGTAAAAGAATTTGGGTTTTCACTGATATACTTAAAAAACATGCCAATTTTTCAAAAACTTTGATCGAGTTGAGCATCTTATATCTGAGTATGTTTCTTGTACCATAATTATTATCTTGTTATGAATTTTTGTTGGACTCTGACCTCTGTTCCAGCTATTCAATACTTTCAACCTAAGGTTATGTTTGTTACTTATTGAGTACATGGAGTCGGTTATACTCATACTACACTTCTGCACCTTGCATGCAGATATGGATGCTGACGTTGCTGTGTATGACGAGAGCTAGCTTTAAAGACATACCTGTGTTCCACTTACAACTACCTTTAGTTCTTGGTATCCCTAGACTTATGAAAATCTATTTATGTATATTCGGATAGATGATGTATTTATTTCATACTAGCTTTGTAAATACCAAAACATAGAAGCTCATGATTTGTATTACCAACCCTTGGGAATTCTTGTATTAAAGCAGTTTTATTATCAATTGTTTCTTGAAAATTTCATTAATTTGGATAGTTGTTAATCATCTTACCTAGTAGGTTGGTTTAGATACCATCACAACTAGTTGGATTTTGAGTCGTGGCAAGTGGGTATCAGAGACCTAGGTTCATAGGTTCTAATAGTCATGAGCAAGTACCTAGTAGAGTCTTGCGGGTCGGTATGATGACATCCATATCTATCTTCAAGAGGCTACAAGGTATTTAGGATAAACTTCCCATATTTATTTCCTTATTGTGCAACATTGATTTAGCTTGAAGTGTAACTCTTTGAATCCCTTTCATGCATTCATATGCGCATATGAGCTCTCAGTATCAGTTGTACATCGACAGCTTTTGATTCCATGGATGAGGTGTGAGATGTAATTTCGGTGGGCTGATGATGGGCTAGTCTGGTGGACTTGAGGATCAGTTAGGACCGCAGCTTAGGCTCAGTAGTTTCAGTTGTGTAAGCATGTACTTTTGGACTTATAAGTTTGGTAGTGTCCTTACTAGTGGAATTATGGCTCGATGAGTGGTTGGGTGACCATATGATGAGTATAATGTGAATGCGGGATATGTCCTGATGGTTTAAATATGAGGGGAAGAGTTTGTTAGGGATATGAAAAGGACTATTGGGTTCTTGATTTCTGCCCTGATATGACTTATAGTCTCAAGTTATGAGTGTATTGAAAGATTTTTTATGTTGTTTAATTGTGGAACGAAGTAGATTTTTCATGTCTTGTGGTGAGTTCAGACTCGAGAAGATTAAGTGATGGTGTGGTAGTTGTGGCTGTAAAAGGTTATGGAGAGATTCAGTTTGAAGCTATGCAGGTGGGTTACCACCTACAGGGTAAACTATAAATGTGTGATCATTATAATGTTATGTGGTGGCTTTCTTTTCTACCAGCGGGTTATGAATGAGCGACTTGAGTTTGGATCGGTTGTAATAGTTGACCTGACCATTACGTGGATGTATGGATTTTAGTAGATGATTTGAGGTACTATGTGGTTTGTGTTATGTGATCTTATGAAGGATTTAGTTGAATCTCTCTACGATATTATGGCAAGAATAGAGTATGGGTATTGTGAGTTATTGACTATTTTGATCCATGGCTTTGAGCCAAGTGGGGGAGTGTACTATCAAATATTTGATTGCATGGTTACGTGTTGTGTTGATTTTGATTTGAGGTATAATGTAAATCTGTATGACTTGTAGAGGCTGGTGTTATTTGTGAAGGATGTAGTATGCGTGGAGTAGGAAATTGCTCGGTTGCTTAAAGGTGAGGACTACTTCTTTGGGTGATGTGCTGCTAACGGGGCACAGTTTGTTTGACCTGTTTGGTCGGTGAATATGAGATTCAGGAAGAGTGGATGACTCTCGAAAAGGTTCTAATGGATTCAAGATTTATATGTAGCAATTCAGAATTTTTTGAATTTGTATATGGCTAGAATTTGAGATTTACATTGGATGGTGTCGAGACTCACGGTATTTCTATATCATTATGGACTCTACATTTTAGTATCAGGAATGTCAAGGAAACATCTTTATATTGATAGAAGGTCACTTCAGAGAGGGTGTCTCGGTTGTGCTATTTTTTTGGGGTTCTCAAGAGGGAATGCAACAACTTATGGGCCTTAGGAAGGTGTGGTTTTATGTTAGGACTACTTGTGGTGAGTTTTGGTTATGGATCGTGGTTTTCTAGCAAGGAGAAGTGTCAACTTGAGGGTAATTCGGAAGGAACTCAGAGAAATAGGACAACTTGGTACTAGGTGGGATCAGCAAGGTAATGGATATGATTGGTTCTTTGGGTACTTATGATGTGGTGAGTCTCTATAGGTGTTTGTTGGCAATAATATGTGGCTTGGTTGAGTTAGAGATATTCAGTTCGGATGGTTTTGTTATGTGCAAATAGGTTTCGAAGAGTTCTCAATGGTTACTACCACGGGTAGAGGTGTGTATTTCCTACTGGTGTCGGGAACATGTTGTGCATTGTAATTTTCTCTTGGATGAGATCAAATGGAAGTTCCCTGGCTAATTGAATATATAGTTTGTTTTTACTAAGAGTTGATGACAAGATTCCCATACTTTTCATATAATGGCATGATAGATGCGGTGTGTAGAATGGGATGGAGATTTGCATGTGCAAGGTCGCAGTTAAGTTTTGAAGAGGAGGTCATAAATTCTTAGGCAGCATGGACGGTTTTCGATGTTTAGATGAATGCTATAACTATTTGGTATTGCTTGAGGATAGTGTACATTTCCGAAGGTGCACTGTGTTTTGACTTACAGACTCTTCATTAATATTATGGTACTCGCTTGGTTGGTCGAGTGCTGATATTTAGATTATTCTATGTAGCACAGAAGAATTATGGAAGTATTCCTCGTGGGATGATCGTGTATGGGAGATGTATTAGACATTCGAACAGGGGAGTTGGGATCAGGTATGGTGATTCATGTGTTCTATGGATTTGGAGACCGAGAGTTCTCAGAAGCATATTGTTTCGTAGTTGTGGACTGTGAAATTATGGCTATATCTAGCCAGATGATAGTAAGTGTTGTGATTCGTTCATTGTGGACCTTCGGAGGATTATTTACCTATTGGGGGTGACCAGAGTTGATATGAGGTCCATCGGTAGGCCCAATGAGGATGTGTAATTTACACCAGGTCAAATTGATTGACTCTGTACTGCTATTATTGGGGTATGTGCCATTCGGTTATAGTTGAGCTTATTCATATTCTGATATGATCTATGAGTTACCCTTCTATGCCATGAGGGATTGTGATCTGTTGGTTATATGCACACATGGTGCAGTTCTATTTGGACCTATAGCGTAATTTGAGCGAGATAGTTGTTTGGGTGTTGAACGATTGATTGTGCATTGGTTATGTTCTTTCGGATTGTGGTATTGTGTTATTTTCTTCTCAATTATTACAGTCATGCACCTTGGGTACTTGATGTCGAATTGCGTGTGGTTATTATTTTTGAGCATGGTGGCTGAGGTATTTCATACAGGCCAGTATTTGGATCGGGTCACGCATTGCAACAAAGTTATGTTGAGATATGATCCTGTATGTTGGATTTATGTGTCTTGGTTCTACTATGTAGGATGGGTTCGTAGCATTACGATTGTCGTGGTGGTGCTTGTTGAGATCGCGGGATGGTTTTCTTATTTGCATTATTTTTCATTATCGGGTGCATTGAGCTATTGTGTATTAGTGCACAAATTGTGGCTCTAGGTCGTATTGGTGTTGCATGTCAAAATAATGGTTGTGTTTAGTGAGATGAGGTCATTGGACCAAAAATAAGTGCTATCAAATTTGATTGTGGTATGTTTGGGGAGGATAATATCGGATGTTAGCATAAACATTGACTATAGTTCTAGTCGAAGGAGAGAGAGCTCCATGATGCGTTGATCTGATGAATGGTTATGAGTTCCTGCGTGTTTCTTTCATCATCGGCAATGTACAAATATTTTAGAATGAGTCTTTGATTGATATGAAGTTTATTACCGGTAATGAGTTATTTTGAACAACTACTGTGATCGAAAATTTTGGAATGAGTATGCGAGTCATGTGGTAGGTCATGTGATTATATCTTGGGTTATGGTTATGGCTTGATACAACTTGTTCAGAAATTTCAGACATTAGAAATTGGATTTTGTGGTTTGCGGTCTAAGGTTGAAGTAATGATCTTCAGTTTTGTTGTGTTGTCGGGCCTATATGGAATAGGGTGATGTGGGATCACCACTAAGTTATGTGCATGGTAAGGTTACACGGCGATTTGATGGCTTTAGAATGACTTTTGGCACGTTCGAGGATGAACATATGTTTAAGTGGGGGAGGATGCAACGACCAGGCGTGGGTAGCTCCATATGATGTATTATGACTTGTGTGAATCGTCGGTTTTGGTTTTCAGGTTAATCGGAATTGATTTGGAAGATCGAATTTCATGATTGAAACTTCAAGTTGGGAGAGTTGATCAAGTTTGACTTTTGTGAATTTGACTTCTAACGGAGTTTTGAGGGTTCCGTTAGGTTCGGATGGAGATTATGGACTTGGTCGTATGCTCGGATTTGCATTTGGATATATTTAGAAGGATTCGGCACAAATTGGTGAAAGTTGGAAATTTGAAGGTTTGGAATGTTCATAAGTTTGTCTTAGAGTTGACTTTGATGTTATCAGGTTCAGATTATTGTTCCGGGAGTTGGAATAGGTTTGATATATCATTTGAAACTTGTATGCAAAATTTGGGTTCATTCCATATTGGTT